GTTACAAAAATGATAAGTTAAAATTCATAATTAAATTGAAAGCGTAAATCTTTGACATATTCTATATTTGTAACACTTTATTGTCTAGGGTATTTTCTACATTTCCGATCATTATTTTATAGATTTTATTTATGTTAAAACCAAAAATAACTCGGCAAATGTTCTTATAAAAGATAAAAAGGTTTACGATTGTACGCACAAAACATGAAATAAACGTCGCTAGAAAGAAGCAAGTCGAACTTGCATAGACTTCGATAAAGAAGTCATATATATAAGTATATATATTGTGAGAAATAAATATTTGTTGTATTCTATTCGGCATTCTATTATTTCTTCTCTGGTAAAATTTTCATTATTCACCAAAGATTATTACTTTAAATAATCAATATTACTTTAAATACTCAATTCACCTTTTCAAAAAATATCGCAACAATTCAAATTGAACATTTCATATCGTATGTAATTCACTCAGATATTCACAATCAAATTAGCAAGAAAAAAGAATATTTAGGATAATAAAATATTTAATTTAATTAGTTTCATTCACTTGGAAAATAAGCTCAAACATTTTTTATATACATGTTAATATCTTATACATATACGCCATATAATTTTTTTAATAAGAAATAATATGAAGATGAGAAATAAGAATCAGTGCTGTAAATAGTGTGTAATTGTATGTTTAATTTTAACTATGTTTATTAAGATTAAACATATAACTGCACTATTTACAGCATTAATTTTTATTAGCTATATTATTGTCCATTTATATCATATAAAAAAATCTATTTTCTATTAATATTTTAATAAGAAGTTTCCTACATAAGTTTGCTCAGAAAACTTCGAATTCTTAGTTATTGTGATTTCTTTTATATTACATATTTATTTCTTCTATAAACTCAAATATACTAATAAATACATATTGTATTAATCATGATAATATACTAATGTATTTTAATATAAAAGCCAAATAAATATCGTTTATGCATTTTTAAATCATATGAGTATCGTATGTACAAATAGTATAACACTTCTTATAAAAGTAGCTAATGGAAAATAGAAATGATTGTAATTCTGTAATAAAAATTGAATAAGACAAATTTATATGAACTTTGTTATTATTTTTAATGTCCCCCATTTGCTGCTAAAATGAGTTTTACACATTAAAAAATACCCCGTATATCTCGGACAGAGAAAAACAAAAAAATCACAGATTATTATAGATGCTGAGTATCGCAATATTGTTTCATCATTCTTCATTTCACGTGGAATTATTATAAAAACCGAATAAATTATAAAACGATAATTAAATATACATTATACGCCATCATCTAAAAGAAATGCTATTTAGCTAACCGATAATCTTGACAAAACTAATACAGTGTAAAAAAAATGTTAATTTTTAAAAGATAACAGAAAATTAAAAAAAAACATTTTCAATAAGTCTTACTGATAATAAATTAATAGCTACATCAACAATCTGGGTGATAACTTAGATTCCAAATGGACGAATGGAACTTACGAACATGCACCACAAAACGAAAGAGACACAATGAAATGAATGAGATATATCATTGTACTGGAAATTGATCAATACGCTTGCGCAAGCTTCAAGAAACATATGTATAATATTCTTTTTTACAAAAAAATGAACATCCGTTCAATTTCCCACATTGTATCGATCGTTTAATCGTCCTCAGACATTAAGTTACGCGTATTCTTACTTCGAACTTTTTCAATTTCAATCAATTTGCATTACGCTCAAATTACACCAAGTAATTTACGATATGCATTTTATAAAAATTGTAAGTTATAAAATATTCAATCAATGGGGAGAAATATATAGACTCTCGTTGACCTTTTTATAGTCAAACGCAATTCTATGATCACAAAGTAATGATCTGCATCAAAACTAGATATTTTAATATCCATCGGATCCTTTTACTTGCTATTGGCTTATGGCCTTATTATAAATCAAATGTTGCTCAATTTCAAATAATATTGTGTCTTGCTGTTCTAATAAGTTTTATTATTTCTCAGGTATGTATATCATATCATAGAAAGTATCCATATTATATATTTTTAGTTGCGTTATCAAGAAATATGTTAGTGATTTGATGCTCCAAATGCACGCACTAGACACTTACATGAGCTCTGTATCTAATATATGCGAGTTATTCAAAACATTTGCAAATACCTGAGATTAGTATCGAATCTTAGAAAGGACTGGATTGATGAAATTCTGAATGCAAGGCATAATATTTGGTTTTGAATCATAAAAATAATTCTTCTTTTCCTCTATGTGTCTTATGAAATATTGCGATATAAAGTACAAAAGTGTGTAAATTTTCATTTAAAAAACATCATTATCTAATGAAAATTCTTTAGTCCTTTTTGATGTGCTTATAATAGATAATTCAAATTCAACTAATACAAACTGTGAGAATATCTTCAGTATCTCTCTAGCGTATATAAATACATGTATAAATGTACATTTAAATTCATATAAAAGAAGAAAAGTTATAACGTCAAACTTTTATATTCAAATTTTTCTCGAAAATATCAAAAATATTTTATTATTGAATTTAACTTTTGCGAATATTATAATTGTATTTAAATGAATGTGTTAAGCGTAAACTAAAAATATTATATATATACACCCACGCAATGTAAATAGATGATAGATGATATCAGACACTTAATAACTGATGATAGAAACTACTGGAACTAATTATAGTTACAAGATAAACAGATGACAAAATCGTCTTCCGCTACAATCATCTTATTTCAGTAACTCTTACAATAGAATATTTTTGATAATTTGAAAAGAAATTCAAAGAGAGCTAACAACCATAAATATGGAAACTTTTTTCATTAAGAAGATAAGAATAATGTAATATACGTACCATCTTATAAAAAAGATTAAAAAATTTTATTACGTTACTTCTTCCTACAAAACAGCTTGCATCAAATTATTTCAATAATAATTATAATAATTGTAATAATACATTAAATATATAAAGAAACAGATTTTTTTAATACATATTCATTAGTAAATTTGTTATTTACAGCTTACGATATTTTTTACTACAGAATGCACTTCTCTTCTTATAATAAAAGTTTTATGTACTACAACGTTTTCTATTTTATACGTAATAAAATATAATTCGTTTTTGATTAACGCCCGTAATGTAAGTTAAATCATTTATATCATGAGCGCGTGCGTGTAAATACTTTTCATAAATAGATTTCCATGCACAATAATCTTATCTAAGCTTTCCAACGAGAAATATTTTAAAAGGTAAAATGTTTAATGGAACGACTACAACAAATCTGTAACGAGCTAAAAAATGAAGATGAAATTAATATCATGAAAGAACATGGAAACAATACAAAACGTTATACAACTGTGATTACGTGTAAGATAATATATATTAATAATATATTTCAAAATAAAATAAATAAATTAAACTTTTAATAAAATACCAAAAATTAAAAAATTAAATTAACTTAATCTTGTAATACTTAAATTAAAAATTATATCATTTTTATAACATCAATATATATTAAAAATGATATAATAAAGAGAAACAGATATATTTTCATCATGATAAATCTACGCACATGTACGTACGTACGTACGTATGCTTGCACGCACGCATGCACGCACACATATGCATAATTTCAAATATTAGATTAAAATATAAAAAGTTTTTTTGAAATTAGAAAAACATTTAGAGCAAAGAATATTAGACTAATATTAGATTAATATTAGTTAGATATAAAGAAAAAACATGTAACATACAACTTCAAAATAATAGAAATTATAAAAAATATTTTTTAAATGTTTTCAGTGTTTTGCATATGCTGTGTGTTTATTCTTATTATAATGCCAATTCTAAAGCCACTCCTTAATATTATTTTGCATATAAATAAATCTGAGTCACATAAAACGCTACGGTTCATAATAAATCAGGAATATTTTATCGATCAAGAGAAGTATTCATTCCTAATTTTGTTGCACATAAATACATTCATATGTATAGGATCAATCACAGTAACAGCGACAGGAACAATGCTTTTAGGATATATGGTACATGGATGTGGAATGTTTAAAATTGCCAGGTAAAGATATATGTATGTAAAAAAAGAAAACGAAAAATTATATGAATTATTATAATAAAGAACTTAGTTTTGCATTAATATATAATGAACAAAATTTGATAAGACTATATATATATATATATACATTCGTAACAAATAATTAATTTATAGTTACCGTATGGAACAAGCAATGACAATTAAAGTATTTAAAAAAAATTAGCACAAAAGACGAAATTATGATTCATAAAGAAATAATTTATGCCGTCGACATTCATCGCAAAGCTATAAAGTTTGTATATATAATGTATGATATATAATCATGTTGTATTATAGTATTTGTAATAAGTTTTTTGAAGGTATGTGGAACTTTTGTTATCCAACTTTGAAGGATCATTCGTTTTATTAATACTGGTCGGTGTGATATCTTTAAGTCTTAATCTTTTCGCAGTAAGTTTTACATTTTTAAATATGTACTAAAAAATTATGACAATAATTAAAACAAAAAATAATTTACCTTTAATTACTCAGAAACTTTCAGAAAAAGATTGTGTAAATTATTTTTTATATTCTTTACTTGTAATTTTATAGTAATATGTTATAGTATAAAATGAATAATTGTCAAGTATACAAAAATTTATAAAAACTACGTT